TATTATATAGTGACCGTTTCTAGCAGCGTGTGACAGGACGACGGAATTCTCCGGATTAATAATAACCGATTTAATGTTTTATTTTTTTCAGACCTCGTTGTGAACAATGATAACAGTTTTTTTTCCAAGTCCGAGACCGGATTCGGCGACGGTTGTATCTAGGAATGTTTAAGTATATATAACTATAGGTATATTATAGAAATAGTGGTTTACGAGTCGTACGAAGCGGAATTCGAGTAATCGTCTAGAATTAGCTGGCAGCAGTGCTGCCGACGACGGCGCATCAACAGCAAATGTACCTGTTACATATATTATTATTATTTTATACGTGACTGAAAATGTATAGTCTATTGGGGAATTCGATAATTTTTTTTTTTTGAATTTTTGAATTTTTATCGTCTAGAAAATTTTCAAACCGTCGTCGACCACTATTATAGGAATCCACACTGCGCCGCAGTATAATATTATACTACCAGATACGACCTATACCTACTATACCTACCTATATAATAATACACATACACAATGGGCTGGAGGGTGGACGTTTTTATAACGATGACCAACATCATCATCCTTTCGGTTCGACCTGCTGCTGTGTACACCGCAGTCAGCTATATTATTCGATCCCCGAACACGGCGCGCACGTATCATAACACACAAGCTGGAGTACCTATATATACCTTTATTGTATTTTAGAAATCTAACGCGTTTGTGGCGTGCCATACTAAATCAACGGTTTAAACGGCAAAGGCGTATGATAATATATACTGCAATATTATATGGGTGTCACGCGTGTCTATTATATAGGTAAGGTATTATTATACAAGACACAGTGTCCTCAAACGCGAAAACCGCACCGAATGGCGGTCCATAAATATGTTATTTATATTATCATAACGTGCGGCGTTTGAGGGGGTCGAGAGCGCGCGCGAGCCACTATCGTGTGTGGTGGTTTTTACGCAACGATATCGGTCACGCGACGAAACCCGATTTCGAGTGAATTCGTATTGTATCAGACATATTATACCACCCAGCGAGAGGGTGTAAGGGTAGGTATTTTCACCGCAACCGAGGCCGTCTTTCGAGTCCTATAAGCGTACACTATAACAATATTATGTGCATTATCGTTGTCCACCTTGACCGCACGCGTGTGATGCACCCGCCGCCACCGCTATATTATAAGGAGTTATATTGCGGCGCGTCTTCACCGGGGGTGGTATGGTTCGTCGTATTTATAGGACCAAAAACCTTCGAGCGGATTATTTGCGAGCTGTATTCTTTTATCGCATTATCGTAGCCGAAAAATCTGGTGAGAACGTGGGACGGGCGTGTTATGAGACGTACCTATATAATATTATAATATATTATATTATATATGTGTAATATTATTATGTACCTATATATAAAGGCGGTCCTCGCTCCTATTGCACAAATAGCGTAAATTCGCGCACGAACAATATTATTATATAATATTATATTGGGTAGGTATGTGTGTAATACTATATAAATATATAATACATACTATATAGTATACCGTTTTACAACCGTGCTAAAATATACTATACACACCGGCGAGACGTTCATTAAAATTTTAATTCCCAAGGTTTGCCGTCGTCGGAAAATGAAAAACGCCGGAAACGCGTGACGGAAAAAAACGAGACTTTATATATTATATACTTCGGGGAATTCCACACGTTTATTATATTTCTTTTCTCGGAGCGGTGACTATATATATATATAAATATAAAGGTACGACAATTTCGATGAAAAACAATACGAAATATGAGTTTCAATTTGGGTCTTTCGTAAAAGAAAAGGAAACAATTTAATATGAAAATATGAGGTCGTTTCATATCGCATTGTATATGTATATAGCTAGGCACCTTACCTTTGCAGGACGTGACAAAAGTTAAATATCCCTAAAAAAAAAATATATTACGTCAGCGAGCGACTGCAGCTTCCTTGGGGAGTTAGTTAATTCATATTCGTTATTTTAAGTAAGTAATACGAATTGAGAAGGAAATATATACGTACGAAATTATTAAACGTAGTCCGCATTATACGAAGACGCAATATATTTTTATATCCACTAGAAAAAACGCCATAATGTATTCTACGAAAATTTACGAAAATATTTAATTGTATCTGCACCCGACTAACGTGGAGATAAAAGTTTTTTTATATTTTCATCGTCATTATTATTATTATTATTATTATTATTAATTATGTAAGTACATTATAGTAATGACAGCATTTATTTTTCTTTATCATTATTTTTATCACGTGTAATTTTTAGCTGATGCGCCGAATTATGTAAATTTAATAGTAGGTTGGAAAAAATACCGATTATTGTGAAAACCGAAGCGTATAATATAATAATATGATATAGATAAAGGCAGGTGAAGAGGAAAAATATAGGTAAAAGGATTTTTTTTTATGTAAACGGACCGCATTCTATGATGGCCATAACCTTTGCAGTGATTTTTGATATTTATAAGTATGTACCACACACTGCAGAGTATCATACAACACACACTGCTTTCGGTAAAACTCATATCAAGACCGAAAATACATGGCGTACATGACGCCGATAAAGAAAGAAAAATTCCTCACCCCAATCCGTCAACGCTCGGTTAGTTGTCAATATATTTATATATAGTTGCCCCGACGATGACGAGGTGGTGCTGCAGAGGGGAGGCTTTTCGGTGCTTTGCGGGCGAACGGCTTTTGAAAGAGCGCGTTGATTAAAAGCCTATAATATTATAAGTGTGTGTATATGCTGTATAAAATACGTGTGTATACGTGAAATCGCCAACGCACACGATTCGAATACTATTTCTCGTACAGCTCGCTGTCGACCCGATAAATGTTAATTCGCCCTTTGATCCTAGCCGCGTCCGAAACGAACCGTGTGCGTTCGGACGGAAGACCACGTTAAAACCAAAACCACCGGCTAAGCCTTACGCACTATATAATATATATATTACCTACTACCTAGTTACTACATATATACATTATATAGAATAGTACACAATTTCTACGACTTTATTATAGTAAACAGTTATATGCATAATGCCATTAATGCATAAAAATAAAACATTAAGTCACATAATATATAATATCGCATTTATCGCGCACATTTCCCATCATCACCATGATAATCGTGTGATATTTGTATGATTTGATTAATAAGTATACAACGCATAAACATGTTTTGTGTAAAAGTATTCTAATGAAAATTATAGGCTGTCATCAAAACAATATTTGAAACCCAAAAAATCCATTACTATAAAATCTATTTTATCAAATAGGTAATTCGATTTCTGTATAAAAAAAGCATAACGAGTGTTAAGTGAATGCTTTTTATTGTATGTGAGTATTTCGGACGATTACAAAATATTTTTTTTTTTGAAAATCATGACATTTGACTGTAAGACAATTATTATTAGAGCGCAGCTAGTCTGTCAAATGCGGATCACCACCCAGGATGTGTATATAACCAAAAGCGATTATTGCTATTGATTTTGAATTTCATTAATTAAATCCGCGAGAGTGCTCGAGATGAAACGGCGGCTTGCCGCCTCTATGCACGCACTCCAGTGCTCGCGGTTGATGCCGGTTCGTTAAGTATAATAATATAGCCGCTCAAGGTGTGCGACACGACGAAATCGGACCGAGAAAGATAATATACCTAATGCTATAATAGTAATCCGGAATGTAACCGTGGATGCGCCAGTGTTCAGGTATATTATGGCGGAGTGTCCCGGAGACCTGCAAACTCTAGCGGCGGTATGCGATTCGGATTTCCGTCGAAAGACGATCTCGAGGGCACCCGCGGCTACGACTTATCGGTTTAATACACGTCGTATAGTATCGTATTCGACCGCGCGCACCCACTCCGTATATAATATACTGCCTATATTATAGTATTATATTAAACACTATACGCATGCATTGCAGTGACAGTTATATTATATTATATTATAATAATATTATACCGCGGCGTAGTACGCGCGTAACTCAGCTCTCACACAGCCACCGCCATCGTCACCACCGACTATATGCCGCGACGTCTGACTGTGTGTCTGTCGGCTAAGATATCGGGGATATTTATATATAATATATATCAGATAGTTGTATGTGTTATACACGATACGGTGGATTAAAGCGACTTGAATAATATAGTGCACGTGCGACGGTTCCTGCACACCGAAGTGCCGGGAAAAATCGTACGAGTCCCACTATTATATTACCTATAGGATATAATATTATGTATGATACCGTACATATACCTCCACAAATTGACCTCTTTCTGAGGACCACACCACTAGAGAGATTCGAAATTTATCAGAGGAACAAAACACGTTAGAACACTTGTGTTTGGCTTTTTACATATTTTTGACTAGAAGCGTATTTTTTGTGTTTTTTTAATACAATCCAATAAATCCACCTAATTCTTTACTTGCTGTCGAAATTTCGGTAGTACAACACTCCCACTATATTATATTGTGTAATAAATATGTGTGCAGTCCAAAATGTATATTAAATATTATTATTTTCTGAAAAAACGTCGTCGAAAAAGGGTGACTAACGGACGTGTTCAAAATATTATGAATTCCCGAAATTTCTTTGCATTTATAATGCCTATACATACTCTTGCCAGTACTCGGTAAAGATAATAATATATATAATGGGATGATATTATCAATATAGTTCTCGGAATGGAAAACGATTTTTTACGTTATATATTTTTTTGAGAATTGTTCTTTCAAACGTAGCGATATTTCATTCGATTCACTGGCGAATGTGTGAAACAATTTTCGCTATACACCGTAATGGGTGTTCACAGCCGTACTCATAATTTTGGAAGGTTTCCAAGCGGCTCGATAAAATAAAAAAAAAATGAAGAACGTGTTAATGACGTATAGAAGATAGCCTGGTGTATATTATACGTATATTTATATATTATAAATATTAAGTTTAAATGTATATATACTTACACAGTTGTGTTCGCAAATGTTCTTCATGTTCTTGCCTTCGGTCTGCAGTACTTCACAATACTTCCAACACTGTAACAAAAAATCGATAAGATATTAGTACAATACAAAGCAATTTATATGGTTGTTAAACGAGTAGTACGCCGGGGAAGGAAAAAAAGAGACGAAAAATATACCGAGCCGAGTCGGGTTGACGAGTGGACATTTATTAATGCGGTGACCGTGGCAGGCGGAGTGAGGGGGGAGCGTGATTGCGTGGTACGGGGGCTGATTTTATTTACTTGTCAAAAAGCTTCGGTTCTCGTGGCTGTTAGACCTCGGGTGGTTGAGGGATAGGCCGGGTGCGTGAGGGTTTGCAGGATAGTACCCGCGCGAGTGTATATCGTTAACAATACAAAGTCCACCACACCCTCGAAAAAATATCTCCACTGCAAATACACTGGCGATGTAGAGCACGCGCGGTATGTGCAGTACGAAAAAAAGAGAGAAACTTTTTCGCGCGGAAGACGACCCCTAGCGCACGCACTCACACTCGCGGACGCCTTTAAGGAAGACGTGCAGAGACGCGTCTTGTGCCCGGACGAGGGTGGGTGTTTTCGTGTGTGAGAGAGCTCGATGAGAATGTGTCTGGAAGGGGCGAGAGTGATGGAGGCGGGAAACGCCAGTGGCCGAAAAAAGATAAATTGCTCTATTGGGAAAACCGGTCACGTACTCGCGACGAGACTATATATAGATGAGTGGACGGGCGGAAAATCGCGAGTGCGTCATTATTGCTTTTGCAAAGCGCACACCCCATGCTCACCTCCCCCTCCCCCCAACATTACCAACCAACACCGCTGCTATAACCAACAACCGGAACCTCGTGGAATATCGCACATAATATATAATAATTTTCACGCTATATGTACCATGCACCAGACACGCACGATTATGCGTTTCTCGCGATGTTTTCCACGCCGTTCTCTTATCGCCCAAATCGGTTCGATCCGTCGAGGTTTGTACCCCGACACCACCTTGTATACTGCACATGTAGTTGCGCACGGTGTAATGACCATGACGTAAACTGCACCGTTGGAAATCTGTTAATCCGATATCGACACCTTATAATAAACGGGCTTGCAGGTGTAACTTATTGGAAAGCGATTTGTTCTTCAAACGCCTCGTCGCGGATTACGCGTCGTTTCCTATGTATTATGCTCGTGGGCTTCGGCGTCGAACAAAATACGAGCGACGTTCGACGCATGACGCTCGAGGGATTTGCCAGAGGGGTATACGTCATATATGTACCTATTATACTTATATTATACGCGTGAACGGTTCTGGTTTTGGAAATTTACACACGTATACGCCTGCGAGCACGTATTAAGGCGTTGAACAAATTATAAACGAAAAAAGATTTTGAAAGACCGAATAACATAAAAACAAAATCGATGACTACAAAATATAATATAATACTTGTATAATATTATATTATTATCGTTAAATTACTATGTATTGTACACACAATTCTGATGTAACCGCCTATGTATTTAAACACAAATCGTGAATTTCCACATACCTACGTGCGGAGGATGGCAGATTTCAGGTCACAGTTTTAAAGCACACTATACATAAAACTGCTGCTGTTGTGAAGTTCTATTTATGAATATGAATAGACGTATACAATATTAGTTAAGCTACACAATATAACTACTACTCGTCTAACGAAGCAGTGATGGGAAAAATAAAGACATCGATGGAGAAATATCTACAATTTTGTCTTTATTCATCATCGTCCGTCAGAAACCCGACGACGTCATTATTGTGTTATTATATTACAGGTAACTACTAAGGTAATGAGAAAAACGACGACTTAAAACGCGCGCATCCAATTATTATTATTATCGTAAACTGTAAAAAATCGAAATAACCGATAGATTTTCGTTTTTAATTTTCGATATATATTCAAAAATATGTGAGTCCCGTACGATGCCGGTTCCACCGGATGATGAATCTTATATTATTATGTCTTCTATTTGGTTTTCCTTGTCGACTTGTACAATTTTCCATTAACGCTCAACCAATTGCGGTCCGCAATCTCAGTCTTCACGAGAATCGCTCACAGTGTATAATATTATGCTGGGCATACGCCCGACGGTTAATCACTTGCCATCACCATGTTTATAATAATATTATATTATTATAACCCGGAGCTGCTGCGTGATGTATATACGGCATGTGATGTACGCGGCGGAACAGTAGTGTTTAATTTTCAGAGGTGGGGAAGACGTGGGCGAGGATGGAAGTCGGACGGTGCAGCAGCAGCAAATATTACCCGGTAGCCCCGCCGCCGGCAGGTATTTATGTGTATATATATATATTTATATAGTCAGAGGTAGGCAGATAGGTAGGTAGGTAGGTTGGTAGGTAGGTTTGGGTACACATACGTATATAATATTATTATATATTATAATACTAGTCACAGTACTTGTATAATAGTGGTAGCTGTGTTGTAGCATAGAAGTAGTAGTATTAATAATAATAATGGCAGCTAATCAATCAGTCGCCCGGCGATTCGTTATGCTCGGACAGTGCACTGCATATTATAATAGTCGTCGTTGTAGTCGTCGTCGTCGTCGTCACCGTTTAAAGATATTATGCTAATGAAAAACCTTCGGCCGCCGGCTGGATCGTGTGCAGTTCGCATTCATTATGCACGCGTTTAATAAGCGCTAAAGCCGTCCGTTATAATCTCAGAGTGTATATCATATTAAATAGGTAGGTAGATAGGCGATTGACGTCCGTTTCGCTGCAGGTGTCGGTAAGAGATGCTACAGGAGCTGCAGAGGAAGTGCATTTTCCGAGTTTCCGGGAACCGTACATAGCTGATTTCCCACCGCCTACAGTTCGTGGTAATATTATTCGCTTCGATCTCCGATTGTATCCTCATGGCACGTGCCGGTCGATAAGCATCATAGATTTTTGAAATTCGTCTCATATACAATAGGTAGGTAGGTAAGGTCCAACCGGCCATAACGCGCAATAAAGCCGACGATATTATCATAGCGGTAATAAAAAAAAACTGGCGACGGACCGCCAAAATAAATCAATACCTTTTGACCTTGATCGCGTGAGTCGTCTATAATACGTCGCATAATATCCTGCGGCCCCTGCAGTACCCACACGACTAGATATAGAGCTACTTCTAACCGGTAATTTTTTTTGTCTTTGGCGGTTGTAATATATACCTCTAACAGTCTATAACGACATTAATTGTCTCCGACTGATATCTATCTATCTATCTATCTATCTTTGATTTTCGTTGTTATATTATTCGTCCTTTGTTCTACGCCAAACCTACGGTATTACATTACGTTATATTTATATATTTATCAGTACAATAAAAGAGCTAGTTTAAGACTCGGACTCTCGTTTGTGTGTGTGTGTGTGTGTACAATCAACGACCTCTGCCGAGTCGGACGACTATCATGGGCTTTCGTTAGTGTAGCGGTAACGCGATAACGGGTCTCCACGACTGTAGTTGGACGAAACTTAAAACGCACTCATGCAGTCTTACAACTGCGCTGCAGCTGCTACTGACGGGCAAGCGCTAAAGCGGTGGCTGTAGGGGAGGAAGTGAGTGAACACGACCGCTTTCAAAATGGAAGTGACATTTCGCCGTCGCCGTCGTCATCGGCGAAGCACAAGTAAATCCGGTTAACGCGGAAAGTGGATAACGCTATACTAATGTGGATATAATATAATAATATACAACAGAATAAAATATCGTATCGCGTACCTATACATAAGTTATATATTGCGATGTCAATGTTATACGGTTTTTTGTTATTTTTTTTTACGACGATCATTTAAAAAAATATGAATAATATTATAAATTATGACAGCCACACGTGTGCTGCAAGGGGTTTGGGGTTCAACCTAAATGTTATGCGAAAATATAATATATAACACGTTCAACTCAAATATTATTAAATCTCCCACCTACCGTGGTCAATCCGACTCCGATGGCTCAAACGGTACAGACCTAAATAATACTTGCTGTAACTCTCAAATGTAGGACTCAAATGTAAATAACTTAAGAGCATGTAAATGTGTCTCTACAAATAACCTTCCTACAGTCCATTTCACTGTATTTTTATAATTTTACTCAAATTTAAATTTTGTACCTACATATTTTATAGATTGTGAAAATACTCAATAATAGCATTTTACAATATTCTATACACAATTATGTTTCTAGTATATAATTACGTACCTACTTACATTATGTTATTAAACTTTTAATTTGTAATTTGTTTTGGTTATGAGTTTATGACTTACAAGCCCCGCCCAATTTTTCCGAATGAATGACATTAAATTATACCTATACGTATTAAAAATCATGAACGTAACGTACCATCTTTATTGTAAAGGCTATGGGCGGATGTTGTGTATTGTTGCATTTTTTTTTTTTTCATTTATTGAGAAAAGCGTGTGTTGACGGGGTGGCGTTCGGTCGGCCGAACAGATTTCTGATGGAGATGGAGAAAAAAAATATTAAAAACGTTTTTCCCCTCCTAAAAATGAATTCCGTCGCCGGACGGGTAACAAGTGTAAAGCATCTGGCGTCCGATGTTTATTTATTTTTGTGTATATATATCAACATTCGTCGACGGCCCACACGGTTAGCTATACGTATATGTATACAATTCTCATTGGAGTAGAAAAAAAATGAAAATAGAAACAATGAAAAAAAAATCACTATATTTCCGCGAACAGATTGTGCGCGAAACTACTTATACACAGCCGTAACATTATACAGATGCGTAGAGCGAAAAAAATATATAATATTAACGATATAATATAATGACAGTATATACATCCCGTAATTACGTAGATGTTGTGGAAAAGACACGGTTCCGGTAACGATATCGTGTATGACAGTGTAGTCCTAAATCGGTCGTCGCTCTCCGTATCATTATTGTCCAAAATCAAGTCCAACTCCTCCGCCGAGGTAACAACAATAGAGAATATGGCCAATAAAGACTTTTGTGTCGTATACAAAATGATTTACCTATCGGTGAAAATATGCT